CCCCTTCCTTCCTAGCCCCAGGCAATACGCAGACCGTCTGGCTCCATAACGGGCTTCCTGGGATTGGCCTGCAGGCGACATCTCAGCCAACCTGTTCTTACCTGGGCACCGAGGGCAGCACTGGCCAGGCCTGCGGCTGGGACTGGCACATGGTGCCGGAGGACACCCCACGGGGGCACAGAGCACGTTGCCCCGGAGGCAGCTGCAGCGCTGGCAGGGGTCGGAGGGTGGTGTGAAGGCTTGTCGGTTGGCGTATTTCTGGCCCTCGTAAAGGCAGCCGTCACAGAGGGGGCAGCAGGCGTCCCCGGATGGGGGCACGGGGTGGGTGCACTGCTGCGGGCAAGGCTTTGGCTGGCATGTCACCGTTTCAGCCTGGGGAGGGAGAGGGCAAGGTGAGGAGGTGGCAAGGGAGAGGCCCAAGGCTGCTGGGCTGCCCCCCCAGGGAGCGCTCTTGGGGGTTGGGGTCTGGCCTCAGCCTGGAGCGTGGCCCCCTTGGCCGGCCAGAGTCCAAAGGAGCAGCAGCTCCAGATCCCAGCAGGAGCCACGTCTGCGGAGGGGTGCAAAAGGAGCCCACTCTTGCACTCTGCTCCTTCCCCACCTGCTGAGGCTGGGAGTCTCCTGTCCTTCCCGGATGGGAAACACCCCCAAATCTTACTGCCGCTCCTAAATAACTTAGGAGTTCCCGAAAAGCCATAAAAAGACCCTGCCCCAGCCCGTTCCAGACACCGTTTTCTCCTCTCTACATCCCCCTTGCCCCACAGATCCAGTCACCAAAAGGCTACCTGCTGGCGAGGAAGCCCCAGATGTGGTTTCCTGCAGACCTCCCTCCCACATCGGATGGCACCGCGACACTTTTCCCCAAGCCTCATGCCCAAAGGGGCCCTTAAACCTGCAAGCGGTTGATGCAGCCCTTTCAGATCCGGCTCCTCCGACTTGCACCCCTGCAAGGAAGGCCAAGGGAGAACGGAGTGCCAGGAACCCGGAAAGCCCTTGGTCGGTCTGGTGCTCACTCACCAGGCAAGTACACTTGTGGCACGCATCGTGGGGTGAAGTGAAGACCTCCCCACTCTTGTAGAGCTGCCCATGGTACCGGCAGGAGCCCGTGCATTTGGGGCAGCACTGGCCGGGTGGCGTGACGGGCTCCTGGCAGGGCGTAGGGGGGCACGGTGTGGGAGAGCACTTAACAGTGCCACGCTGTGGACAGAGCAAGACAAGGCCCCTATTATTGCTGACTCACAAATGTTTCCCCAAGAGTGGGCTGCACCCCCCAAGGGCAGGGTTCTGCCTCCTAAGTGCCCAGTTCAGTTTGCACAACTCCCCAAAGCAGGTCGCCGAATAAACCCATTTTCATGGCTGGCACACTGCTAAACCAACAAACATTATAATAATGACTTTAGTGCCAAATATGTACCTGGATCTGTGCCATTTTAGACAAGCATGCCTGCAAAGTTAAATAGCTACGCCCTGCTTGCAAAAAGACTGGTGGGGGGAGTTGGGGCAGAGAAGAAAAGCGTTCCAGGAAGGCTTCACTGTCAACCATATTTAGGACAGAGATTAGCAATGTGGTGTCCTGGGCACCAAGTACACAATGCCTCTAAAAGGTCCCCCTGCTTCCCAGGAAAAAAAAATAATGAAAAAATAGGGTTGTAGTCTCATAAGGCTGCCAGAATGCAAGATGTTTTGACATTCTTGCGGGAAACTTGTGAAATTTTGTGGGTGGAATCGGCTGGAAATCTGATAAGATGTTGCATCGTTCACATAAACCCTGGCTACGTTGGTTGCAAATTGAGAGTAATTCCGTTGCTGGCATTCTTGTAACCCCATTCCTATCATAAATCTTGTTAAAGAGAACTCTGTGAGATTCTGGCTTGGAAAATAATCACTTCTGATTGCAGGGCAGCTGCTAAGGCCGCGTTCCTCAACCTTGGCCGCTTGAAGACGTGTGGACTTCAACTCCCAGAATTCTGGGA